AGATGCAATAACTTATCCTTCACTTTAGAAGGAATGTCTCGAAATACCCCACTCCTGGTACCAAATGTCTTAGGCTGGGTTCTTTGGAGAAGCAAAATCAGTAAAGCGTATAAGTATATATATAGAGAGAGATTATATCAAGGAAACAACTCACGCAATTGTAGAGGCTAGAACGTCCCAGGTCCATGGATCAGGGTAGAGGCCTTTCCCAAGTCACACAGCCGCAGAAGCTGGCAAGCCCAAGACTGGCGGGTTGGAGAGCAAGGCTCTCACTCACAGGCTGTGCAGATCAACGAATCCCAGGTTCGGCAGATAAGCTGACAGCTCAAGTCCCAAAAACGGGAGATGAGATGACAGGAAACAGCCGCAGGATCCAGAGAGAGCAAAAAGCCAGAACGTCTGCTTATATTCAGATGCGGGCCACACCCCCAAGGAGACTCCCTTTCATCTGATTGGCTACTCACAGTATATTCAGTCATGGGAGTGATTACATTAAAACACTGAGAATCATGGCCCAGCCAAGTTGACACACAGTCTTAACCATCACACCCAGTATACACACACATACTCACCTGAAACAAAAGTTTTATTTACAAAACAAAAAAAATGAAAACAATGCTTTTCCTTACTACATGTTGTGCTCTCTGATGTTTTCTATTCTGTTCTGCTTTATCCTCCTTTTTTTTTCAGTGCCAGTCATGACCTACTAGATAGATTTCACGACGCACTGATGGGTTGCAGTGTGAGGTTTGAAAAGCTGCTCTGAGGCAGATCCCACAGGCTTGTTTAGAGGGGTATCTCTCTAGACTAGGGAGATTCGTGAAAAGGAGGTCACTTTATTGAAAAGGACAGGTATTCATAGACTACTGCTTTGTTTCTCCTCCTCCCTTCTTTACTATCCAAATGGAAGCTCCGTCTTCAACTGCCTAGGGAATATCTCTACAATCATGACCTGCGCCACCTCAAAAACAACACTTCCAAAGCTAAAGCACCCACTTTCTCTACATGGCTGCCCTCCCTGCCCAAGCTCTGCCTCTCCTCCTCTGTCCCTATCTTGGTTAAAGGTGCCACTCTTCCAAGTCACCCAGCTAGAAATTTTGGCAGTCCATTCCATACCTTTCTCCATCATCCTCCACATCCAGTCAAGACCAAAGTGCTTCTGGTTCTGCTTCCAAAACTACTCCCAACTCAGTGTTCTCTTTTCCATTAATAAAGCTACTGCCTTCATAATCTCTAACCCAGATGACTGGAAGAGCATTTCTCATATTATCCCTGATCAATCAAGAAACTGACAGAGTGGTTGTCGTTGTTGGTTGTTTTTTTTTTCTAAAACCAATCACGTTATTCCACCTCTCAAAGTCCTTAGCATGGCCCTCTGCAGTCTGCCTCCAGAACACCTCTCCGGCATCATCTTCCTTCTCTCCTTTGCACAGCGTGGGCATTTATTAAATGTATGGTCAACTGAGTCATCATATGTAGCTATATGTGTTCTGTGTGTCAAGAAGATGACATTAGGGGCAAGCTGTAAAACTCTCCACCAAAGGAAGAATCATAGCATCCTGGGAGATCATCCAACTTAATGGTTCTTGACCATTAGAACTATCTGTGGAGCTTTAAAAATACCAGTGACCAAGCCTCACTCCCAAAGAATGGATTTAATTGGTTTCAGAGTAGGGCCTGAGTACTGGTGGGTTGTTTGTTTTTTAAAGCTTCCTTGGGTAATTCTATGTACAACCAGGTTTGAGGATCACTGACGAAGGTTCCAAATTCAGAGACCATGGAATCATTAGACGGACCATGGGCGAGCTTAGGGGACCATGTAGTGCATGAACTTGTATGTAAAGGTGTGTGTCTGTATGGATGTTTCTGTTTTTCTGAACAGAAGGTCTAAACATTCATCACATTCTCAAAAGATTCTGTAACCCTGTAGAAGCAACACCTCTGATCCAGATTAACCCTTTTACTTTATGGCTCAGACACAATGGAGTAAGGGGCAAGAGAAAGGGCTGGGTAGAAAACCACTGTGTGATTATCGATCAAGTTAGTCAACCTCTCTGGACTTAGTTTTCTCTACAAAATCAGTGTAATAACTGCCCTGCGGAGTTATTTAAAGAATTAGGGAGAAGGCATGAAAAGTGCCTAATATGGTAGCTGGTGTATATGAGGTTCTGAAAATGGTAACCATTACCAGTCCTATAACCACCACCACCACTGTTACTAACAATACTCTTAATACTAACAATACTAATATCATTATTAGAAAATAATAGTATTTCCCACTTACTGAGCACCTTCAACTTTGTGCCAGAGACATTATATGATATTTTTTTAATCCCCACAACAACGCTGTGAGGTTGTTGCTATCCCTGTTTCACAGAATGGAAAAGAATGGAAGCTTAGAGAATTTCAGGTACATGCCCAAGGCCACACAACTAACTGTAAGTGTCAGAGGCAAGTTCAATTGATGGGAAGACTGCTCCTTGCCACCGGCTTGCACTGCTGTAGTAAATAAGGCCCCGATCAGTTGCAGGGTGAAAGGAAGCCACTGTGGTGAGTTTCAAGTTGGAAGAAATCTGACTTTTCACAGCCACTTCCCGTCCTTCTCTCCTTGCCCCCTTTCCAGCCGCTACTGGCGCCGGTGGAATCGGTTCTGCAGAAGAAAGTGTCGTGCCGCAGTCAAGTCTAATATTTTCTACTGGCTCGTGATTTTCCTGGTATTCCTCAACACACTCACCATTGCTTCAGAGCATTACAACCAGCCCCACTGGCTCACAGAAGTCCAAGGTGAGAGTTGGCCCCTGGCTCTGCCCCAGTTTACTCTTGCTAAGTCAGGCTTGAACCCCAGGGAGGGAATAACCACAGGCAGAAGATGGATCGGGGAGCAGCTGCCAGTAGCTGTGGCCCTTGGTAGGAGCCGTGCTGTAGACACCAAGGGCCTGGCAGCTCCCAACCCCTACAGTGGCATACACAACCTCGTTGTAAACAGACTTGGCTCAGCTGGCTGGGCCCACGCCGTCTGCCTGCCCCAGTGGTCACTGTGGGGTCCAGGTGACTAGAACATGAGCTACAGCCTGTTTGTCTCTATCAGACCCTTAGCTGCTGACTTCCCAGTATGGATTTTCAGCACCTCGGATGGGCTTGTCCAAAACATCTGAGGATGAAGGGAGCAGAAAGGCAGGAAAGAGGAAAATAAATAGTGGCTTGAGCACAAGGAACTGTCCTCAATGTCTAGTTGGTGTCATCATGCTTCCCTGGGCCGCTAGAAGAGAAAGTCACTAGTCAGAGCCTCAGTGTATCTCCTAGGAGTCAAGCAGACATGGCCCTGTACTCTGGGGCTGTGTTCCAGCATTCTGAGACAATTGGGTCTAGTAGTGAAGAGATCAAACTCAGACAACCTGGCTTCCACTTGTGGAAGATTACTAACCTCTCTCAACCTCACTTCTCAACTCTGAAAAAGGGGCATGATACTAATAGTACCTACCTCACCCAACTGATGTGAGGAGTAAAGAAAACAAGGCATTGGAAAGCCTTTGATGCGTTAAGTGCAAAGAGTGAATGCACTCAATTGCTAACTGGAAGATTGGCAGTTCAAGTCTACCTAGCGACACCTTGGAAGAAAGCCCTGGTGATTTACTTCCAAAAAATCAGCCGTTGAAAACCCTGTGGAGCACAGTTCTACTCTGACACAGCTGGAGCCACTATGAGTTAGAATCAACTTAATGGCAACTGGTTACTGGTTAAATGCTCAATAAATGTTTCTTATGATTATAATTCCACATCCTTACTCTGCTCTGGCTAGGAGTGGATGGAAGAGGTATCATGGGTGGGAGGAGTTTGGGATTTTTTTCCCCCCCAGTGGTGATAACTATTATGTTTTCTTTCTCCTCCTCCCTCTTCACCCTCCTCTCATGTCCCTGCTTGCATCTCACCCCCTTCCTGAACCTGCCAGATACTGCCAATAAGGCATTGCTGGCCCTTTTCACTGCAGAGATGCTCCTGAAGATGTACAGCCTGGGCTTGCAGGCCTATTTTGTGTCCCTCTTCAATCGCTTCGACTGCTTCATTGTGTGTGGGGGTATCCTGGAGACCATCCTGGTGGAGACCAAGATCATGTCCCCGTTGGGCATTTCTGTACTGAGATGTGTCCGGCTGCTGAGGATATTTAAAATCACAAGGTACTTGGCCCCTCATATCCCTATAGAGATGGGACCAGGGAGAAGTTCTTCCTGAGGCTGAGGGAGGTGGGAAGGTCTGGGTGGGAGAGTGGCTGCTATTTCTTGAAGAGTCTATCCTCAGCTCAGTGGAGGGGAATTTTTATTCATTTAGATGCTATATCTTTTAGAAAGGTCCCTAGGTGGCACAAATGTTTTTCACCTAGCTGCTAATGTAAGGATTGGCTGTTCCAACCCACCCAGTGGTACAATGGAAGAAAGGCCTGACAATCTGCTTCTGTAAAGATTACATCCAAGAAAACTCCATGGAGCAGCTCTACTCTGTAACATATGGGGTCACCATGAGTCAGAATCAACTTGACACTAGCGAGTTTTTTTGAGCATCTTTTAGAAATTCCTTGGGCTGCTAGTATCAGAGACTCAACTTAGTGGCTTAAGCAAGGGGATTTATTCTGTCATGTAAAAGAAGTACACAGGTAGGCAGCCCAGGTGGCCTCAAGAAAGCTCAGGTACCCACCAGCCCTAGTGCTGACTTCCATCCTCAAGGTCACAAGATAGTTTCTGGAGATTGAGCCATCATGTTTGAATTAGAGGCAGGAAGAAGGAAAAGGGCAAGGAGCATAAGAGGCACCCACCCTGGCTGAGCCAGCCCCTTTACAGAACTCTCCCAGAAATCTCATCCAAAGCCTGCTGATATGTCTCATTGGCCTCCCCTAGCTGGTAGGGGCGAGTAATGTAGTCTTTTAGCTGAGCACATTGCTGCCACAAATGAAATCAAGATTCCTTAACTGGAAAAGAAAGATAATGGATATTGCAGCACAGATGGCTTTCATTCCTCCATCCACACTTTCACCCGCTCTCCATCTGTCTGTCTATCCGCCCACCCAAAGATTGCCGTCTACCTAACTTCCCAGGTAAAGCATGATTATCATGAAGAGGACAGGCCAGGGGAGGGGGAGTGAAGCATGCTCTAAGACAGTAATTTTCAACTGTCTTGTGACACATCTGGGATTGTGAAATCAATTTATTGGCTCACAACCATTTTTTAAACAGTTTTATTGAGATATAACTTGCATACCGTACAGCTCATCCTTTTTCATTGTATAATCCAATGGCTTTTTTGTGTATATTTACAGAGTTGTACAACCATTGCCACAATCTAATTTTAGAACATTTTCATCACCCCAAAAAGAAACTCCATACCTACTCTCCATTCCTCCCAGCCTTAGGCAACCTTAAATTTACTTTCTATCTCTAATAGATTTGCCTGTTCTGGACATTTCATATAAATGAAATCACATAATATGTGGGTTTTGGTGACTGACTTTTTTCGTTTAGTATACTGTTTTCAAGGTTCATCCGTGTTGTAGAACTTAATTCCTTTTTATGGCCGAATAGTATTCCAGTGTTTGGCTATACCATACTTGGTTTATCCATTCATCAGTTGGTAGACATTTGGTTTATTTCCACTTTTTAGCTACTATGAATAGTGCTTCTGTGTTTTTGTATGGATGTATGTCTCATTTCTCTTGGATATATACCTAGGAGTGGGATTTCTGGGTCATATGATAAGTTTGTATTTAACATCTTGCAGTATTGTCAAATTGTTTTCCAAAGTGACTGCACCATTTTACATCCCTTCTAGCAATATATAATGGTTCCAATTTCTCCATATCTTCACAACCATCATTTCTAATGGAAGAATAAAAATAGAACAGAAAAACGTCAGCGGGTCTTACATGAACATAAGTATTGTTTCATCAAAATCTTTACGATATACATGCGTGCAGCTGTGTGTGTATCTGAGTTGCAAAGTAATATATATTTATTACTGTGGGCTGTGCTCAAATAAAGTTTGTCCCTAGAGGGACCTATCAGAAACACCTGGAGGGAGTTTTTCAAACTTTGGCTCCCCAGAGGTATAAGTCCCCTCCTTTTAAGAATCTCTGCTTTGGTAGCCCAATTTGATAACAGGAGCATTGAAACCAACTATTGGATTGTGTCAGAAAAAAAAAGAGGGGGAGTAGGGTCAGTATCCTCTGTTCAAGGACTGGGAGCTAAACACATCATGCTCGGAGTGTTCTTCTCTACTGGACTGAGGGAGTCATCAGGGACCTACAAACCATCCCTAAGTGTTCTCTTTGCAATTCTCTCAGCAACCACCCAGTGCACACATGCTCCTGTGAAGCTGTTGAGGATCAAGAAAGGCAGATTTTCAAAGTGTTCGGTTCAGTGCCAGGCACAGGAAGCACTCCATAACCAGAAGCTTTTATTATTCTATTTATTATTATTGTTACATCATCATTATTATTATGAGAAGGAAGAAGGAGAAAAGAGCTAATAGTGGTCTACACATTCACACTCTCTTCCTTTTGTTTATTGATCCACCCTGTATCTACTACGTGTCAAGCTCTGAGAGATAGAAAAAAGGTGTATGGCATGAACTGAACCCAGGAGAAATTCACAGTCTGGCTGGGGAGATGGAGTTTGTGCATGTGAAAGGATTAAAGGAAAATCTAAGTCAGAATATAATGAGTTGGCAAACCGTATGGAGGAAAAATACCTGCTATGGGAAATTGGGAATAGGAGAGAGGCCCTGGGAAGGGTTTAAAATCAGAAGAAGGACTTGAAGTATACACAGAATTTAAATTCACAAGTTTCACACTCTTGAGCAACACCTCTCCTCCTCCTAAAAAAGAAAGAGCTCTTTCTGAATGTTCTGAATATCTTGACATTACCGAAAATCCTTGGTTTAGAAGAAAACTAGTAGAGATACTAACAACAATAATCGTTAACATGCATCAGTGCTTACTTTGTACCAGATGGTGAGATCCAAATGCTTACATGCATTCACTCAGTTCATCTGTACAATTACCTATAAGGGAGGGTGGGGAATAGGGTACCATTATTATCCTCACTTATCAGATGAGAAAACTGAGGCTTAGCAAATTAAGTCACTTGCCCAAGGGCACACAAACTGGCCAGAGGTAAAGCTGGGATTAAATGGCAGGTCTGTCTGACTTCAAGTCCTGTGCCCCTAACCATTCCAGTTAATTGCCTTGTTGACGGGCTAAACTGTCTTGTTGACTTATGTCCCTGGTACAGGACTTTAAGGATTTTTATTTACTGATTCTTGTTGTTAGATAATTGCTGATTCTACTTGCTCCTCCTGGTAAAAGCTATTTTTAACTTGGAGCTTTCAGTGCCTCTTAAATAATTCTTGAAAGCCCGTGTGTGTGTGTGTGTGTGTGTGTGTGTGTGTGTGTGTGTGTGTGTGTTTCTATAGAAAAGAAATTTTGGTCCTAAATATTGTCATAGCATCTTGAAGAGATTTAATATTCATTCTATTTTTAATCACCAATTCATTTCTAATCTAAAACTATTGCCAAGAAACCATCTTTTAAAAATCTATCTTTATCAGAGAGCTTCCAGTAGTCCCTCCACAAAATGGATTAGTAGTATTTTCAGATCTCTTGTAAAGCCTATAAACTGAATAATTTCATTATCTAATTGGAAGTTACTTTAGCAAAGGACATCCTCTTCCTGTTTTCAAGTCTCCAAACCCCTTAGGGGCTTTTGGAAAACAACAAAGAGACTCACTTTGCTGGGGAATCCCATACTTTCTCTGAACCTTGTCTTCAAGCCCCAGATTTGTGGGCACCGTACACTCCAGTGACCAAGAAAATGGCTAAAGTATGGGCTGGGACTGGACATCATGGCCCCTTAAACTGGGCTTTGGTTGGGTCATCTATGCATAGGCCTGCCATCCAGACATGTATATTTCTCCCTCTTCTTTTAAAATCTCTTGAAGAATAATTTGCCATGCCTCAACACTTGTATTTTGGAGAAGCATTTTTTAGAATGTAGTCTAAACCAGTGGTTGTGATTCTCAAACTTAAGTTTGAGCTCATTCAGGGAGCTCATTAAAGGACCTAGAGATTTTGGCCAGCAACCCCTGGGGAGTTCCATGCTGGCGGTCTGATGACCTCACTTTGAGTAACACTGGCCTAATTTCCTGCTGCTGTCCTTTGTCTACTTTCTTGTCTTAAAATACGGTCCTTCATATATAATTGGAAGACTTGATTCTCACCTCTCTGTTCTCTATACTGGAGGACTTAACCATGTCGCAAGTAGTTTTGGTAATTCTTAACTGAGAAAGTACATAATGATAAGGAGCTACTGTGAATTCAGCAAAGCTTTTCAACTAACTTGAATGTCATTGTTTCCCATACTTCTGTACACAGTGGTAATTTCTGCATACGTTTGAATAGCAGTAGTATACATACAAGACAGGCTGTTTATTTAATCTACTATAATGCTTGCTGTACTCTGGATTCCTGGATTCCTTCCTGTAATTCCAAATTTCCCTTCCCCCACCCAGGGCTCATGGTCCAAGAGTTGGGAACACTGATCTACACCACTGGGTCTCAACCATGACGTCTTGATAAATTAGTATGTCCACAGCAGTTGTACTGTGTATAGCAAGTAATTTGTTTTTGGCACAATGGTTAAGCAGCTCTGCCACTTAACTACTTAACTACTTAACTACTGCAGGGTCAGCAGTTCGAACCCACCAGCCACTCCATGGGAGAAAGATGTGGCAGTCTGCGTCCGTAAATATTACAGACTGGGAAACCCTATGGGGCCATTCTACCCAGTCCTACAGTGTCACTATGAGTCGGAATTGACTCGATGGCAGTGGGTTTTTTGGTGTTTTTAAGAGCTAAGATACAAAAGTTTGTGAATGATGTACTTTTTAAAAAATAAATAAAAATTAATTCAGGATTGTCCTTGTAACACCATTGCTCTTCATCACTTGTATTCCCAAATACTTTGACAAGTGGGCAAGAACAGGGAGGGCTTACAACTCATATGCTGCCTGAAGGAAGCCGATGTCTCTGGTGTATCGTTGTGATGAAAATGAACTATTGGCATGCTTAGGTCCCCCATTACATGTTTGTGTTTGCCAATACCTGGGAATGCCTAAGGAAGTATACTGCGTA